TGTTGGGGGCAATATGCTGACTCTCTGTAAACCGCTTAGAGAGGGCTGAAAGCCCTATGAAGCGGTATATAAGTCTACGTCTACTGCTATTGTCCCACAGAGTAACAGAACAGGATTCTAGTATAGATATTCCTCATATAGTGTGCTTCATGTAACAACAATTCACAATTATTTCAGCGATGGAAATATATCTTTGTGACCAATCCTTGCATTTATGACCTTTACATTTCTGTGAAGCAAGGGAAAGCTGAAGTAAGATTTTAAGGACAGTTGTGCTTTCACTTAGCAATAGCTTTATTTAGAAACCAGCTTGCTGATCTTAACTTGGTCAGTAAACAAGGACTACCTGTATTTCATGGCACAATTCAGCCTTCCATCCTTCCAAGGTCAGTAAAATGAGGCTCCAGATTGTTGTGGGCAATATGCTGACTCTCTAAATCACTTAAAGAGGTCTGTAAAGCACTGTAAATAGCAGTATTGTTGCTATTTGATATTGGATACAAAAGTCAGAAATCATACAAATGAATTTTTAGGGTCCAAAAAAGATTAAAATGTCTATCTTGCACAATTTATAAAAGAGACATATTTAGGAAGCAAGAAAAAAACCTTTCACCCAAACCCCACAATAGCCATTAAGTGAGGCAAAAAGTAGCATTAATAGGGGGAGTTTGAGTGGTAGCATAAGAAATATACATTTCTTTGAAATAGATGACTCTTGGTTGCGACAAATGGAAACTTTTGTTTTCCTCTTCGGCGGTTCTGTTCCGGTGTCCTGTTTGCACTTGAATAATGGATTAAGCACAGTCTAATTGAGCTATTCTGATCGGCTGTTATCACATGATACCACATTCAAAATTATTCCTATAGGATTCCATAGGTCATATTCATTTCAGGTGTCCATCTACATGAGTGTCTCTGTACAGAGATTAAAATAATACTTACAAGCTTTCATAGAGGGCGGTATAACCTTAAAGTTTAAATTTGAATTAGGAGATTTGGTATAAAAGAATCTCTCAGGTTTGAATAACTGAGTAGTATTTAAAATAAAAGACTGCAAATAAATTTACAAAATGTATTTATTAAAGTAGCAGACATAAAGGTAAGTATACAGGCTTTGTATATCTAATTGAAGACTGTGGTTTTATTTGGCATATATTGAAAGCAAATTGTTCAGTTTCTCTTTCAGCTCTTCCCACTTCACAAATCACCTACAATAGTGGTAATGTTCACTTAATTTTAGTATGATATAGAAAGTCAAAAACAATAGCTATAAAAATAGTTCCTCTTTCCTATATGTTTATAAGACAAATAGCATTCTTTGGAATGAAGATTTATAATAAACATACCCAAAATTCAGCAGTTTCTAAAAGCACATCAGCAAAGTTTCTGTATTTATTTTTAGCTCTTAGTCTGTCCAAATCAATCTATTTTATAGCAGCAATTTTACTTGCTACAATTACTGAAGTATTAAGCATTGTAAAAAATTTAAAAGGCCGTTCCTATAGCAAAATTCTAGCAAATTTTGTAGACTCAAAAAACATCCAAATCATTGAAGATCCAAGTATTATTGTATTACAATCGATAGTGTTTTCTGGTTTCTTTCTTTCTCTCCCTTCCTTCCTTTGTCTCTCCCTTTTTTCTTTCTCTCCCTCATTTCAAGTCCACATTCAGAGCTTCCAGGCTAACTATCCAAAGGGAAATTGAATGAATAAGTTTTCTGCCAAGTAGATGTGTGAAGTTGAATGTTGGATTGAAAGCTATTGTAAGAATTAGAGATCTGCAGAAGCAACTTCATGGAGACATGAGTTTTAAGAAAGGGATATTTTGCACTGTATGATCCATTCAGTATTTAAAAATTACAGTACATATAAGGAAGATTCTGATCAAAGAACATGTTTGGTTTACTTTCTTACATGGCTAAAAGTTTTCTACCTTTTTAAAAGCAAGTGATATTAATTGTGGAACTGGGAGGCAGAGCAAAAATACATCCAATTACAAAATCACTGGTGAATGTTCTTCCCTCTTGAAATGATGCAAATGGTTTGCAATAGCAACATAAATGTAATAAGAAGTTCTCAGAGGCCCGATAATCTGAGTATCAGCTGCTTTGGTTCTGCCTTTCACCTCCAGCATTTCATGGACCAATATATTTATAGAAAGATTCCAGCTAGAATGCCAAGAGAAAATAAGGAGTGAGTGCATTTGATGAGTTACAGGACATCACATTTGCAGCCCACTTATCATCTTTCAGTCCACTTGTGCTGTCAGTATTAGGTTAATGTAGGAGATGACCAGGCTGAGCCTGAGGGAGGGGTCAAATGTGTCACCAGTCATAAGTCCCTTCGCACCCACAAGAGATCTACATCCAGCCTACCTTGAATTCTGTTGACTTTTATCTACCACCAATTTGCCTTGACTGTTAGTAGTTCAGATTCATGTAGAGAGCATTAGCATACAATAAACATATATTCATTTGAACTGCCTGGACTCTGATTTCCTGCACTTGTTATTTAGGCTGAGAATAAAGCCAGGACCAACTCTAGTCAGTTGCAAAGCAAAAGAAGGACGGGACTCCTTGTTTTCCCTCAGCCATTTAATAGTAGCTATAAGCCTCTAAACAGTCACTTCAGTGGATTTTGGGGGGACTTAGGAAGCTAGCTGTTGAGAAAAATAATTCACTAATTAGCAAAACTTACATGTATTTCAATCATGGAAGGCTCGGTAGTTAAAACACTCAGTCCTCCTTTTGATGTCATAGGTCCCAGCCTTGTGTTTGTATCGGCAGACCAAAAGTCCTGCTATTCCCAGCGCGAGAACAAGTACGCCAATAACAATGAGGACGATATAGCCTACTCCCATACCACTTTTTTTCTTTTCCTTTAATCCAGCTGAAGCAAAAGAAATTGAAAAAAATACCATTGCTATAAATTGAATGCTATTATATAAAATGTGATCAGATCATTATAATACTGCCTCACTGCAGGAGTGCAATCATATGCATGGAAATAAACTCATTACAAAGGATTTACTGTAATCTGTACAGTTTAGATAATTGTAGTTTATTTGTAATTTAGAATGATAAATGACACAGAGAAAATTGCAGTCTTAATAGATCTCATTTTGTAGAAATAATCTATTTTCTTCTTGTTATGGTCAATGAAGCTGTATTTGCGAAGCTGTAAAAAAAAAAACCAATCAATTACAAGGTACATTTTGAGCTTTTTTATGTCAAGTTAGACTAGCTTTGAGAGCCAGTTTGATGCAGTGGCTAAGGCATCAGGTAGAAACCAGGAGACCATGAGTTCTAGTCCTGCTTAGGCATAAAGCCTTCTGACCTTCGACGAGCCATTTTTGCTAGTCAAAATGGAAATGGCAAACTACTTCTGAAAACCTGCAGGGACTTGTCCAGGCAGTTTCTAAGTATCAGTCACAATGAAATGGGATGGAATAGAAAGGAAGGGGAGGGGAGGGAAAGAGAAAAACTAGCTACAAATAATTCTAGGGTAGTTTATTTTGATTAGCAAGAGCTCTCCTAGTTGCTAGGGGAAAGGAGATTTGTTTATTTTATTCTATCACTCACGATACCATAGATTGCCTATATGGTGTTCTGCAGGAATCTCATCTTCACTGCTAGAATGATTCCAGTTTTTCTTTTGTATGTGTTCTGTATTTTGAAATGAGCTGCTGCTACTGCTGCTAAGAGAGCTAAAATGGACAGAGCCTCCCAGCAGAAAAACAAGAAACTCTAACCTTAACCCTGAGATTGTTAGAGGACAGGTAGCATCACAAGAGGTTGACTGGAGGGTGCCTAAAAGTAAAATATTCCTTACATACTGTTAGATACTAGCTTCATTTATAGTGGTTTCCATCAAGGTCCTCTGTTCCAGCGGGGACAGAGGTTTAATCTCATTGCTGTTGTTGCCTTTAGCCTGAGTGTGCCTTTCCATTACCCGATCTAACATTGGTGACGAGGGTGGGATTGGAAGGCAACTAGGTAAACCAAAAAGAATGTAGCAATCCAGCAAGTAAATCCAGCCCGGAGCTCAGCGCGGCTTTGAGCACCCATTTTTGAGTGGCAAACTCAAAATGCCCTCAGAACACAAAATGGCCATGCATCCCCCACTGACTCCATATGATCCAGTCACAAAGCACTGGGACTCGCATATGCTGAGGTTCGACTGCTTCCTCGAAGACAATGACCTCATAGGCCTTTCTGAAAACCGCAAGAAGAACACGTTCAGTTACTATGGATGGAAAGTGTTCAAAACTGCCAAAGACCTGTCAGAGCTGACGCCGCCACAATCAGTCGCTTGGTCCATGCTCCAGCAGACGCTGAGAACTTACTACGCTCCCAAGCCATCTAAGCACATCCACCGGCACAAATTTAAAATTCGCAACCAGAAGGAAGGTGAGTCAATCAACAAGTACGTTGTGATGCTACGAAAGGCCGCAACGTACTGTGAGTTCTGAGACCTTGATGAGCTTATTCTTGACCGCATCATATGTGGTGTGCGGGACATTAATTTACAGAGGAGGTTATTTGCCAAATCTATCCTCATTCTACAAATTGCCTTGGACAAATCCAGGGCATCAGAATCAGCCGTCAAGTCAACAGAAACCCTGCAGCTCCAAAACACTCCACAAGCTGCGTGAAAGCATACATGCGTACCTCGCAAGGCTGCAGAGGCCAAGAGCTGAGAAGGTGAAGAACATGACAGCTGCCGCATGCGCAGTAGCCGCACCAAGCCGGCGCACAAATTCGAACCATGATTCCCGCCTTGCGTTAGCTGCGGAGGAGACCATGCCCGATTGGCTTGCCATATCCGCAACGCTATATGCCAGGGCTGTGAGCGAAAGGGGCACATCGCCAAAGTTTGCAGAAGCGAGCACCCCACGGCGACCTGGCAGCCAAGAAGCCGAGCTAACCGCCAGCAGAGACCCAACCAAGGGGCATGGCAGAAGCCACCATGGCACTCAGAGGGCGACACTAGAGTCACCTACCACACCTCCATCGGCCAAGTCTGCACTAGGCGGCCAAAAAAACTGAAGGTCACAGTCCTCATCGAGGACTCTCCATGCGAAATGGAGATCGACACGGGGTCATCACTGACCATCATGCGATGGTCCACGCTAAAGCGGGCTATCCCTAGCCTGAAGAAGCAGCTTCTACGCACCCCTGACATCCGCCATCATGATTACTAGGGGAATCGGGTCCCCATCGTGGGCCAGGGCACCTTCCGGGTGCAATTCAAAAAATACAGCACCCAGCTTCCAGTGACGGTGGTCAGCAGTGACCTGCAGAGCCTCCTCAGGCTTGACTGGTTTGAAGCCCTGGGCCTAGAAGTGACTGGTGTCAACGCCTTGAAAGATGAGAGCGCTGAAGCAATTTTTAATGTGTTTGAGGACGTCTTCAGCACCGGTCTGGGTAAGTATGTGGGGACTTCAATCTCTTTTAATTTGGACCCCAACATAGCCCCAATAAGGCTAAAACCCAGGAGAGTACCTTTCGCTCTCTGCCCAAATATTGATCTGGAAATTAACAAGCTCGTAGGCCAGGTAATCCTAGAGCCGGTTGATCACGCATGCTGGGAGAACCCAATAGTGACACTTGTCAAATCAGATGGGTCTGTCTGCATCTGCACGGACTATAAATGCACAATCAATAAAGTGTTACAATAAAGCGCTTACCCTGTACCCACTGTACAGCATTTATTACATTCTTTAGGCCACGGCAAATTATTCGCTAAATTGGACATGGCACAGGCATACCAATAATTGCTTATAGATGGCACCATTGTGACACACAGGGGTGCATTCAAACGTCACCACCTGCAATTTGGAGTTAGTATCACCCCTGGACTGTTCCAAAGCATCATGGAACAGCTTTTGCAGGGGATTCTAGGAGTCGTCCCCTATTTTGACGACATCTTGGTATCGGCTGCAAATGAGGCGCAACTTTTCAAACATTTGCTAACTGTTTTGACCAAAATTTGAAACAAGGGCCTCCGTCTCAAAAAAGAAAATGCCAAATTAATGTGCCAAGGATTGAATTATTAGGATACCTAATTGACGGCTCTGGAATTCACTCGACCATGAAAAAAATTCAAGCAATTCAGGATACCCCTATACCTCATAATCAAACCGAGCTGCAGGCGTTCCTCTTGCTCCTTAATTTCTACACTGTCTTTCTTAAACAGAAATCCACCGTTGTTGAGCCCTTACATCATGTCCTGGCGAAGAACGCGAAGTGGTCCTGGGGCAGACCTAAGGCTGCCACATTTGCCGTGGTAAAAAGACTCCTGTCAGCGGACATGTTCCTGGTGCAGTACAGCCAGACCCTGCCACTGCTGCTGACCTGTGACACATCCCCATTTGGCGTTGGAGCCATCCTAAGCCACCACAAGCCCAACGGAACCGAGGCTCCCATAGCCTTTTACTCTGGGACCTTGTCCGCTGCCGAACGGAATTACAGCCAGCTGGACTGGGAGGCTTTGGCTGCAGTGGATGGAGTAAAAAGGTTCCATGAGTACCTATATGGCCGTGATTTCGATCTAATTATACACCACAAACCACTACTAGGGTTGCTGGCTGGGGACCGACCTACTCCAGTATTACTTTCTCACAGATGACCAAATGGACCATTTTCCTAGCTGCCTACTTCTACCGGTTCATCCACTGACCAGGCTCCACTTTGGGGCACACCGAGGCTTGAGCCGTTGCCCGCTGCCAGAACATCTTGCTGACCCTACCCCCGAGACGCCAGTCCTTCTCATTGACTGCTTGGAGACTGGTCCTGTATCATCCTGTGACGTTGCCCACCACTCTGCAAAAGACTCCCCCATCAAACAAATTTTGAACTGGGTGTGGAGGGGGTGGCCCAAGGAGCCTGTTGGGTCTGAATTCAAAATATACCATTGTAAGCGTGAGGAATTGTCTGTTGTCAATGGCTGTTTGCTGTGGGGGGGGGGGGGGGGGGGG